GAGCCGGCTCTTAGCAGCACTCACAGATGTTTCCTGCAGAGCAGGACATAAATAACAGCATCTGGCCTGCTGCCAGCATGACTCGAAAAGCTCTTGAGGTCACAGGCTACACTGGGCCAAGCTGGCCAAGAGCATGGTGGCTGCTGGGAGAATGCAGGGTAAGTGATCTGGCCAGCTGGCTCACGTGCATGGAGCGCGAGAGCCGTGCACGTCTCCTGTCTCCAGCTTCTGGATGCCCAACACCGGGGCTGGAATCTGCCATCCTGTGGGTCCTGGTTCTCCTTGTGAGCCGGCTGTTTTCCCATCCCCATCCACCAGCTGCCCAGTATTGTTAGCAAAAGCCCAAGCCATCCCAGTGTGGCTCTGTTTGGGGCAGAAGGAGTTGCTAGAGGACCCTGCTGGGTTCAGAGCTGCCATTAAGTGACTGGTGGCCATCCCCAGGCACAGCAACGAGTCTCTGGTGACAAGGCTTGCTCTCTGGGAGTCACCAGGGTGACACTGGTGCTGCGTCAGCGTCAAGGGCTGGGTGTTTTCTCCAGCTCTCAGCAAAAAGCAAAGGTCAGGGCTGGGAGGCTCAGCTGGTGGGGATGGTGGGGACGGGAACTCCCAGCCCCTGGAGCAGACTGTGCTGTGTCGTGGGTCATTGGTCTCTGCTGAGCCTAGAGGTTTGAAGCTGGGGATTGCACAGTGTAATGCTTTCCCAAAGCATAACCAAGATAAGTGTGATCTGTGCTGACTCAAACTACCCCATGGGCACTTTGGCCTTGGGCAGGGCTGCAGAAGTTCCTCGTCCTCCTCTTCTTCCTCCCACCCGCTAACACAGCAGAGCCGAAGGCCAGCTCTAGGCACCTGCGCTGCTGGATCTGACCCTCTGCCCCACGAACGGCACGGTAGCAGCGTGCCCTGCTAGGGCTGGCAAGCCAGGCTTGGGGGCTGCAAGTCACTCTTCCTTCTAACCTGCGAGTCCTTGGCCCAGGCGCTGCTCTGGGCTGGGATTCAGCCTCCTCCTCCATGCCATTCGCAGCTGGAGCCCACGTGGTCGCCTTTTTCCTCTGAGGGGGAGGTTGGTTGGCTCTCTTAGAAGCAGTTGGCTTAAAAATAAATCGCACATCTTCCCTGTTGCTGCAGCATGGGCACATGGCTCCCTGCGTCCTTCCTGCTCCGGCCCAGCCCCTCCAGCACCCTTTCGTCGAGGCTGCGACAGTGCCCATGCCTCAATGCTGGTCCATCTGTCTCTGCCAGTGCCTCTCCCACTGGCCTGGCTAGCCCTGGCTCTGCTGCCCCTGCCTTTGGCTCCCTCCCTGCTTTCAGCCGTTGCACAGGGCTGGGTCACTGTCTCAGCCTGGCAGCACTCTGGAATATCCCTACCAAAGCTAATTTTGTTGTGGTTTAGTGCCATGGCTGCACCCCACCAGCAAATGCTCTTCACCCCAGTTGTACCTGCACGAACCTCCCTGTGGCCTGGCTGGATCTCATCCCTTGGCAGCATGGGGCTGCAGCCTCTTCTCTACTCCGGGCTAGGTGCCTGCGGTGGGTGAGAGCAAGCCAGGGTGGCAGGGTCAGGCTGCTGCTTCCCCAGCTGCTGGCATGGAGCCCTGGAGCCCAGCACCTGGTCGGGTATTGGCAAGTCGGAGTGCACCAGGGAGAGGTGTTGGCTCTGCCAACATGGCATGCTGCGTCGCTGATGCAGGACTAAAGCCAGTGAGGACCTTGCTGGGTGTCCCTGCAGGTTTGCTGGCTGTGGCTCCCAACCTGGGCACTGCTGGGAGGGAGAGTGCAAGCTGCAAACTGGGCAGCAAAGCCGGCAGCCTGGTGTGGAGTGGGGCAGCCAGGAGGGTTTGCTTTGCCTTGCGGGCTGGCGTGGGGATTTGAGTGTGCTGACAAGCCGGGCAGGGACTGCAGATTAAAGCTGGCATGGGTTTTGTTGGGCCAGCACCAATTTCGGAGAGGCACTGCACTTGGGCCAAACGGGCGCATCTGCAAGCTGTGCAGAGATGTTGCCCAGCGTGCCCGAGGGGTTTAACAGGACTGCGCCAGGCTTTTTCAGACTGGGAGGTGGCAGCCCACTTTGCAGTGGCCCTGTTGCATGGCAGGGCAGGTTTGGAGGTCTCTGCCCGGGACCCCATGCCTCTCCACCTGCCCTGGTGCCAGCGCCTGCTGGAGACGAACAGAGGTTTCCCCATGGCTGAAAGCCCCTGCTTGACTTCCCAGTGCCAGCCAGCACAAACTGGCCTCTAGCTGGGAGCTGGGGAGGGGAACGGGGGAGTTTCTGGCTTGCTTGGGAGCACATTGCCTTCAGTGCCTGGATGTGGACGTGGCTCTGCACTGTCTCGTTTGCCCACTGACATAGATGAGGAAAGGTTGAACTTGCAAACTGAGCAAGAGCAGTGCCTGGCCCCAGTTCTCAGGGGTGAGTCCCAAACTGCTCCGTTCACTCGGTGAAGGTGTCCTGGGCTTTATGCTCTGCAACAAGCCAGCTGTGGGCCAAGTGCTGCTGTGACACACAGGTAGTGTTTGGGACTCGTTGCTGCAGAAGATGATCAGCTGTGGACTCTTTTGGCTTCTGCTACCTGTAGCTTTTCCAAAGTTTTCTTACCTCCTGTGTTTTCTGGGCTGGAAAACTGCAGATCATGCCCACATCTTCAAGGGTGAAGCTCTTTTGCTCTTTTTCTTTTCTTGCTCTTGCTGTCCTCTCCTCCAGCACATGAGTCTCTCCTCCCCCTGTGCCCCACATGCGCCCCAGGCACCCTAACACAGTGGAGTAGCTCAGCCCCACAGTGGGGAGCCGGCACTCCCAGGCCCTGTTCAGGTGGAGCCCCTAAACCCTGGTTTTTGTTTTGCCCCAACAGGCCATCACTCAGTCCCCGAATGCCATGACTGAGGACATTTATACCAATGGCTCAGCGACTCTGGGCAGCCCATCCCACAGCAACAGCCGTGAGGTGCGGAAGATACGCCTTGTCCAGTTTGAGAAGGTCACGGAGGAACCCATGGTGAGAGCTGGCAAGATCCCAAAGCCTGGTGGCACCCAGGGGGGCGGAGGGGCAGGTAGAGCCATGCCAATGGGCTGGCCTCAGGGGAAGCAGGAGATTGCTGGAGACCTCAGCCACAGGAAGAGGGTGCTGGATCCTGCCTCCTGCCTGGGGACCCGGAGCGAGCCCCACCAAAAGCGACACTTGTGCCAAGAGGAGCTGCAGCAGGCTGGGCCAAGCAGGGGGCTTCCCCCCAGCCTCTGCACAGCCCACCATGGACATGGGCCTGGAGAGGACTTTGGTGAGAGCACGGGAGCTCTCCCCTCCAGTGAGCAGTCATGGATTTTCCTGTCTTCCAGGGAATCACACTGAAGCTCAATGACAAGCAGAGCTGCATGGTGGCCAGGATCTTCCATGGGGGCATGATTCACAGACAAGGTAACGAGGCCATCGTAGAGGCAGTGTATGGGGTGCATGTCTGCAGCTGGTTTCTTTCCGTGCGGAGATAAGGCAGCCCCCCCAGCACTGCTGGCTTTCCCCTGTGACATGAACATCTGTGTTCGTTCCTCCACTAGTAATATGTCAGGAACTCAGGACTTGCTGGTCTCTCTGCATGGTTGTCATGTTAATACACTGGAGGCTTTAGGGAGAAATGAAGGGTTGGGGGAAGGGCTCTTCCAAAAAGGAACCAGAGACCATCTGTCTCTGTCTCGTGTTGGGGTCACTGCAACAGGAGATGGATCACACCCCAGAGGCTGTGGGGGAAGCTCTTCCCATTCCTAAAGTGCACAGGTGGGACAGGCTTGCTGTGGATCGGCTCTGCAGACCAAAAGAAGGTGCCAAAAGAAATGAATAGGTGCTATTTTCTGGTTTTGGATCTTGCCAAGGGGGCATGGAAATGAGATGTTCTGTGCTTAGAAGAAGATGCCCCTTTTCCAGCCTTGGACCCAAGTGGGAAGTCTGAGCTTACCGCTGCCAAAATAACCCAGGAGCCATTCCAGTAACGCTACTGGAGCCTGATTTATAGCAGGATATCTGAGGCTGTAATCTGGCTGGGTATATAAACTGAAAACACACGGAGTAAAGAATGATTGTGTTAAGGGCCCTGTAAGGAGACTGTCATTTGGCTTCAGGTGAGGTACTTGGGGTTGGGTTTGAATAATTCTGAAACAGGTGCTTTGACCAGTGTAAAGCGCTGAAGGACACATGGTGGAAAGCAACCTGATGATCTTCACACTGCATGAAGTGTGTGTATTGGGTGGAGGGGAAGAATTCATTCCCCTTGTGCTTTAGTCCCATGTGCTTAGGTGACGTGGCTCCACAAGCATTGCCCAGGCAGACACTGCAGTGTCCTGGCCTCAGCTTGCCCAGGGGGTCGGGAGGCTGGTGGAGCTGTGTAGTTTGGGTTTGGTGAGCGGCTCTTGTCTAGTCCTGCATTTTCATGTTTCTCCCATTGCTGGCAGGCTCCCTTCACGTGGGTGATGAAATCATAGAAATCAATGGGCAGAGTGTGAGCAACCACTCAGTTGACCAGCTGCAGAAGATGCTGGTAGGTATTTGTGTTTGGCAGGGCTGTTCCCCAGGAAGGACCCCTTTGGCCTGTAGATGTGCGTGCTGGCTGAGCATTCACCTCCTAGATACCAGAGCCAATGCACAGCTGCCCTGGCAGGAGCCAGGGCCGCTGTACCGGGTCTCTGTACGCAGCCTTGGTGGTCTGTGCTTGCTGCTTGATTCTGGCCTCCGGAGAGCAGCAGCGAAGGCTTTTGGCTGGGTCCCTGACATGTGCTGATGTGTGTGGGGTTTAGAAACCACCTCTGCTTGCCGAGGCTGGTGTACAGCTCCAGCCTGGGGGCTGGCTGCTCTTGCAGACCTGAGCCACTCCTGCAGGTCACCTTGGTGCCATTTTCCTGCTGCTGAGGTCACGGTGATTCTGCCAGGCCCTTGCTAGAGACAGCTTTGGACAGAGTCTCAGAACTGCCTTGGGTTCAGACACTGAGGCCATCCTGATCCATGCCCAACATGGGGGACCTGGCTGGAGGGAAGTGGTGGTGGTGCTGGGGACACCCACCAGCTGCCTAAGCAGGAGGCCTGGCCCTGCTGCAGTGCCATGGTCCTCTCCTGCCTGGTGGCAGGACATCCCTACTCCAGACAGCAGGACCAAGGAGGAACTTGTCTTTGTCTGCCTCCCGAGAACGACGGTTGGCCCAGGAGGCCCCTGCAAGCCTCCAAATGTGGTTGTCCCCATGGGACCATGTAGGTCTTGTGAAACACGTGGGGCAACAGTGCATGTGGCCTGTGACAGGCAAAGGAGTGCTGTGCCTCTGCTGTCACCAGGAGGGCAGGAGCGAGAGGCCAGCATGGAGGGGACAGATGGAGGGGACCTGGCAGAACCAGCCTCTCCTCCCAGGCTCCTCACTGGGGCAGCCAGGCCAAAGATGATACAGATCTCCATGTTCATTCTGGTGATGCTTAGCAGTGCCCACTGTTGTGGGGGTGTTAGTGTCCCCCCCATGGGAGTGAGACAAGCGTGGCAAAGCTGTGCTGCCATGGCTCTTAGCCCAGCCCCAGCAGAACTGTTTCTGGCCAGGCTGTGGTGTCCCCCAGCATCACAGCGTGGCTGGGAGCACCGAGGAGCCTTGCCTTTGCGGGTCCTGGCACTCAGCAGCTCCCTGCACAGGTTGCTGCTGTCGGGCTGCCTCCAGGCACCACCTCCTCCAATCCTTCTTTCTCCCCTTCCTTTGTTCACTAGAAAGAAACCAAGGGGATGGTCTCAATAAAAGTCATTCCCAACCAACAAAGCCGCCTCCCTGCTCTCCAGGTAAGTGCAGCCTCCAGACCTGCGGGCTGTGCTGGGACATGGCTGTGGGGCTGGGTGGGACCAGAGCAAACCATGGGGGACCAGCGCTGGGGAGAGAGCTGTGCTGAGCCCGGGGAAGGACAAGGGGATGGCTGCCCAGTCACCTTGCCTGAGCTGCTGGAGGGTGAAGGGACGTGTCCTGTGCTTACATCACTGCAAACAAGCAGATTTTTGCCCTGTGTTGGATGTATTTACCCAATGTGTATGTAGGAACATGGGCCAGGGACGCCTGAGCCACAGTGGTACATGTGCGCAGTTTGGTGATGCAAAAGCAGCGGTGTGTGCACACCAGGAAGTGCAAGAGTTTCCCGCCACCTTCATAGCCACGGCCGTTAGAGCCACATCCCTGTTACAGGGCCACAGCAGCACCTCCAGGTGCAGCACTGGGCTGTCGCTGCTCCCCGCTGTCATTGATGCCCAGGGCATCAGCCGCAAGGAGGGTGATGTAGGTCCGGATGCCGCCAGCATGCTTGTGAGCAGCGAGTGGGAGGAAGGAAGCGGTGGGGGAGAGGAAGGCAGCTCCTTGCGCCTGCTGCCACTGTCAGGGTGGGGGTGACGTGCTGTGGCAGGGGGTGACACCTGCCTGGCGTTGCCTTTGGAGTCCTGCTGTGGCCGAAATACTGAGGACAGTGGGGAGAACTGGCTCCTCTGCTAAGACTTCAGTGCTTAGTGGTGGCTTTTGACTTTAAAGACCAGGGCTTCTCATGCTGGAGCCTGCTTAGTACCTGGGCTTCCACCCCCAGACTGGGGGCCGGCAGCAGGCAGGCAAACAGCTTGCATTTGGAGCTGGCCCTTTGCAGTCTGTGGGTGATGCCTGGAGCTGTCTGATGCTAGCTCCTAATTGGTGTAATGGAGGGTCTTTCCAAAAGTGACCTGGCTATGTTTGGCTTGGGGTACCAGGGCTGCGAGAGCAGAGGGCTCCAGGCAGGTGCGTGGGCAGTGCTTGCTGTGTGTCCCTTGTGTGTTTGTGTTGATGATCAGCTTCCTGGTGCCAGAGAGTGCATTCAAAGCAAGCATCAGTCCTCATCCTGAAAGGAGATTCCACTTTTGTTGTCTTCCATTGTGAGAGATCTCATGTCACAGCTTGATCCATATGCTCTGGTTTTCTGGCAGTGAAAGGGAACCTGTTTGTGTCCTGCTGGCCCTGTGCCTCCAGCAGCACTGCTGAAGGAGGACATACTGTGGGAAATTGTTTTAATGTGGAACAAGGACAGCGTGGTCTACCGTACCCAGGGAGGATGACTTTTCAGGCCCTGCCTATCACATATGAGGATAGGACATAGGCATCACCCCACGTGAATCCCTTTGCCCGCTTGCTATGTGCTGCGTTTCTGGAATAAAAAACTTGATAGCGTTGTGCTCAGGGGAAGCCTGCATTAGTGCGAGCATGAGGCTGGGTCTGATAGTGCTGCTTCCCCTGTAGAAGGATCTCCTGCCAGTGGCATGACTGCTGGGCAGCCCCAGGCACGCTGCCCAGCACCCTCCTGAGTGGTCACAGAAGTCTCAAACAACAGGGAGCACTCGTGATCTGTGGCAAAGCCTGCAGAACTTCGCACCATGACTGGGGGCTTCCAGCAGCCTCAGGCCCACAGGACAAAAAAACCCAGGAGGGGAACAAAGGCAATGTGAGGTCTGTGCTTAGCCACAGCCTTACTTTGTTCCCTGAACGCTGCCTTTCACTCCCCATCCTCCATACCCTGCCTTGCCCCCAACCTAGTCCTGACCTGGTCCTGATCCTGCTGGCTGTGCTGGCCAGAGACAATTGCAGCTGCAGCAGCGTTTCAGATGAGAAACCATTCATCCAGGCATGGAGAGCGAGCGGCAGTGCAGAAAACACTGGGTGCACGTGCGTGGTCTGCTCTTCTCCCAGGGATAGGTGACCCTCATTCATCCTGTTGCTCTCTGACGGTCTGTTCTTCCTGAACAGCCTGCCTGGAAAACAAGGTCTGTGTGCGAAAGCCACATGCTGTTTCTCTCCTGACCTTGCAAAGATGCTCGGGGGCAGCAAGAGCCCAGGGGTGCCTGCTGGCTTCAGGAGGGCTTGAGGCCAGGGGAAGGCAGTGGGGTGGGCTGTAGACTCCCTCCCAAAGAGCTGAGCAAGCAGAAGGGACAGGGAAAGGCCACTTTCTCATGCCTCCCTGGTCCCCAGGGCTTCCCCAGCCCCAGGAGGGTGCCTTGGAAGCAGCAGCAGCTCATTTCCAGTTGCAGCTGTGATGAACATAATGTTGCAAGAGTAGCTGATGCTGAAGAGGCCAGAACAGACCCAGGCAGGGATGGACATGACACCGCAGCCTTGGCTCCCCGAAGGCCCCGTGCCATGCATGGGAGTGCCCAGTGCTGGGTAGAGAGGCCAGGGCACAGCAGCTGGGGATTGAGACGTGGCCTTCCCTCGGGTCCCCAGGACGTGGGATTCCAGGGTGCTCCGTTGCGATGGCTCTTCTCTGCTCACCCCACTGCAGACCCCAGTTGCTGTGCACCGTGTTGGTCCAGGTGGTGGGACTCATGTCCAGCTGGCTTGGCTCACCAGCACTGTGCAGCACCCAGGAGACTGCAGGGGGGCTACATGTCACGGTTCAAGCACCAGCTGTGGGGCATGCAGGCCTGCCTAGAAGCAGCAGCCGTTTCACTGGCTCCTAGTAGGGCCAAGATGCTGTCCTCCTCCCTCCCTCCCTCACCCACCAGCACGTCTCACTGCAGCTCCATGCCCAAGAGCTTCCCCCAAGGCTTTGTGCATCTCCTTTCTCCCCCCACAGCCTCATGGGGTCTGGAAAGCAGCAGGGACTGGGGTCCCTCCTGGAGCAGGGACCTTGTGCCTAGAGCTGGCTCTGCAGTCACGGCTGGGGGATGCAATGTGGGGCTGGGAGCTGGACACGACCAAGTTCAGCCACCCTGCATGGCCATGCTGACTCTGGCTCTCTTTTGCAGATGTTCATGAGGGCACAGTTTGACTACGACCCCCAAAAAGACAACCTGATCCCCTGCAAGGAAGCAGGGCTGAAGTTTCAGACCGGCGATGTGATTCAAATCATAAACAAGGATGACAGCAACTGGTGGCAGGGCCGGGTGGAGGGCTCCTGCACTGAGTCAGCAGGACTCATCCCTTCTCCGGAGCTGCAGGAGTGGTAGGTCCCTGGATTTGGCCAGAAGGGCTGGATTTGGGAGTGGAGGCAGGAACCATGATCATGTGCTACCAGGAGCGTGACCGTGTTGGGTAACACCAGCATCACTGCTGGGTAAAGGAGGCAAATGTCCCCTTCATCTGCTACAGAGTGAGCCTTTACCTGTCCCAGCAGCTACCCTGCTCCTCTTGCCCTTGAATGTCTGAGGGACAATCCTGCTTCTCGCCCAGGGCTTGGGGTGACGGTTGGACCATGGTGGTGTCCTCTCTCGGCAGGCGTGTGGCGAGCATCACCCAGTCCAGTCAGAGTGAATCCCCAAGCTGTAGCCCCTTTGGGAAGAAGAAGAAGTGCAAAGATAAATACCTGGCCAAGCACAGCTCAAGTAAGTGTGAGCAGGGCAATGGGCTCCATCCCCAGCCCTGGCCATCACTCCTGCCTCTGGGCAGGGGCAGGTTTGTCCTCCATGGGAGACCACATGGCCCAGCTATGATGGCAGTGGGACCTTGGGAGGATACCCCACAGCTGTTAGCTTTTTTGAGTTCCTTCTCCAAAGTCCTCGTACACCTCATGTGGCCACAGCTGTATCCCCGTGCAGCTCTGTAGTGCTTGAGGCCAGGGCTGGTTCATGCAGGAGCCAGGCACTGGGCACCCATGCTCTCCTGTGGTGACAATCCCTGGCACTACTGGCCCTAAGCTCCTTGGAAGGTCAGGCTCCCAGGCCCTCAAACCCCACAGGCTGCTGAATGCAGGGCAGGTGGTGGCCTTGCTGCTGCTCAGCAATTAGGGAGCAGCCCGAACTGCTCCCCACAGCTGCCAAGCCATGTCCCTGGTAGGGCAGCTGCCCGTGCAAACGCCCTGTGCTAAGCATGCCCTGGGCCAACAGAGGTGCATGCCTGAGGACGTGGTGGCTCCTAGCCCGGCCTGCAGCTCCAACCAGCAACAAACAAGGCTGTAAATCAGCAAGATAAATAAATCTCCCCCAGCAACAAGCTCCCTGCAGTGTCCTGCTGCCTCCCCACCCAGCTCCCAGGTGGGTCCTACTGTCCTGAGCAGAATTACTGAGCAAGCACAGCCCTGGCTTCTCCTTTGGCAGCTGCTGGTTGAGCTCCCCAGCACGTCCTCCACACCTCACATGCTGCTTGCTGCTGGGCTACTGCCCTTTTCCCAGAGCAGCCAAACAGGGATGAGCTCCCAGCTCAGTCCTGATCACTCCCTCCATTTTGCCCAAGGACCTGGCTTCGGTCTGACGAGCATATGGTCCTGCTGCTGTGGCTGAGCCAGCTCTGACCGCTTGCTGTCTTGTTTCTCCTCCACCCCAGTTTTTGACCAGCTGGATGTGGTTTCGTATGAGGAGGTGGTGAGGCTGCCTGCCTTCAAGAGGAAGACTCTGGTGCTCATTGGTAGGTCCTGCCCCAGGTATCACTGGAGCACAAGGGCTGCATGTGGTGGGTCCCGGGCGGAACCAGGACTGGACAGGGACTGCTTCAAAACCTAGCAAGCTCTGGGGAGCATTTCTTCTGCCTGCAGTGGTCACCAAGCAGGCTGACCTCCTCCATGCAGCATTGTGCATGGTCTGGCACCTGCATTGCGATGCTGAGGTAGAGTTAATTCAGGAGTTTCCAGCTCATAAGTATCTTTATGGATAATTTTTACTGAAAGCAGCTCTGGTCTGTGCAGCTGCAACAAAGCAAGGACTCCCATGCTGTGGGTGCTGAGCACTTATCCGTGGACACTGTGGGCACAGGCAGCCCACACAGCCCAGCTGTGCTGGCTGCTTAGCAGGTACCGGTCCCATCTTCAGCTGGGGCTAGAGGTGAGCATGCCCAGGGTAGGGAGAAGAGGATACCACGGACCATCTCAGAAAGCAGATCCTGGGCAAGGCCCCAGGAGCTCTGCAGCTTTCCTCAGACCCAGGGCTGCAGAGGGGCCCCAGAATCTTCCGCCAGGCTTCTCTGAGCCCGCCTCCAGCATCCATTCCTCCTTCCCTGCAGGGGCCAGCGGTGTGGGCCGTAGCCACATCAAGAATGCTCTGCTCAGCAATAACCCGGAGAAGTTCATGTACCCACCCCCACGTAAGTACCCAGCCAGGGTGGAGGGCACAGCACAAGGCGTGTTTCCTCTCACCTCCTTGAGCCAGGACCTTCTGACAGCAGATGGGAGGTGGGGAGATGTTCCTCCAGCACCACCAAGGCCCCGATGTCAGAGGCCATCATGCAGGGCACTGTAGGGCGTCCCTGCCTACGGTCCCACAGGTGGAACCTACCCACAGATGGCTGCAAGGCTGCTATGGCCCGCATTGCAGAGACACCTCACTCTTTACATCCCAATAGCTCTCCTTGGGCTGGCTGAGTTCCCTACTTGTCCCAGGCAGGAAGGAGCTGAAAGGGGATTAGCACAGTCTAGCCTTGAGGTACACAGGCCCTCCATGCCCTAGCCCCATGCTCAAAAAGGGAAGGCAAGATGCCCAGGTCACCCAGAGTGGGGGCTGCCTGCTCCGCTCTGTTCCCTAGTCCTTCTTGGGGCCAGCACTCACTATCTCCCTCCCTCCCCAGACACCACACGCCCCCAGAAGAAGAATGAGGTGGACGGGAAGGACTACTACTTTGTCTCCACTGAGGAGATGACCCGGGACATCTCAGCCAATGAGTTCCTGGAGTTTGGAAGCTACCAGGGAAACATGTTTGGCACCAAATTTGAAACAGTGCACAAGATCCACCAGCAGAACAAAGTTGCTATTTTGGACGTTGAGCCCCAGGTAGGGAGCAGGGGAAGGGGTGGGCAGGGCAGGGGCTGCCACCAGTTGATTACCTGTGTGCTGGCTGTGACTGTCCCTGCCTTCCCAGTGCACTGCCCACCTGCCCTTCCCAAAAAAAAAAAGCCAGGGAATGCTGGGGTGGCATTTCCTTTCCCAAGACATGGGTGCAGTGAGGGTATTCCCCATCACAGCAAGCACCTGGCTGTGACAGCAAGGCCAGGGCCAGGCTGCTGTAGGAGTGGGGGTGCAGGCCCCAGCACAGGGACCATTTCCCCTCTGACACCAAGCACGTGGGTGCTCCTTTGCAAAGTGGCAGTTGTGTCCAGTAGCCAGCCCAGAGCAGGGCGGGGGATGCCCTTACATTCTGCCCCATGAGGTGCAGGGGAAGCCATGCTGGGACCCCTGCTACAGCTTCACCCAACTGCCCCTGCATCACCCGACTACCCCCAGGCTCAGGAGTCCACCCAGAGAGCCCATGGCCCCAGACTAGGGGTGGCCCCTTTAGCCTACCGCTGCGTCACGGGCACCATCGCACCTGGCTGGGGAGCAGCGTGGGGTAATGGGGGACAGCTCCCACCCTGAGGAATGGCCACACTCTGGTAACCACCCCTCTCTCCACAGACCCTGAAGATCGTCCGCACAGCCGAGCTCTCCCCGTTCATAGTCTTCATTGCCCCAACAGACAAGGCAGAGCAGGTGGGTGGCAGGCTGCCAAGGCTGAGTCCCCCTCTGGCCAGGTTTGCCTACCCACGGCAGGGGGGCAAGGAGCCCACTGCAGCAGCCCAGGGCTCTCTCCCTGCTGCACATCAGCTTCTTCCTGTCTGCATTGATTTTTGTGGTCCAGGAGAACACTGGTGCCACAGTTAATTCAGACAGCGCCAAGCACCGCCACACGCTGCCATTTCCTGGGAAGACCCGGACGCAGGGAGCAGTGCTGCCTACCCTGCCCTGCCACAGTCTGGACCAGCTCCCCTGAGGGCTAACCTCTGCAGGGAGACAGGAAGCAGTGGGAGAACAGGGAAACCCAGAGCTGTGCTCCTCCTGGACTCATGGCCAGCCAAGGCTACTTCCCCCAACCTATTAATTTGGGGTTCGTAAAGCTCAAGATACAGATAGTTTGCAGGAAGGATATTTATGCAGCCTTCAGAGCAAGCATTGCACAAGCATTTAGAGGCACGTTAACCTGCAGAGGATTGTAAAGGCAGATCCAGCAGGCTGGGGGGGGAAGGGGGTGAAAAGGGGGACAAGTGTCAGAGCAGAAAGGGCAGTTAGGCAGGCTGCTGCCCCCACCTCCATGCCCCATCACCCACCGCTGTCTCCAGACAGAGGCATTAACTCCAGCTGCAGTGGGCAGGGCCAGCCCCACTGGTGCAGGCACTATATATAGCTAGCTGCGGCAGCTCAGGTAACTGCTTACTAGAAGGGATGCAGCAGAGCCAAGATGCGACCCAGCAGAGCTCACATGACCCAGGCAAACTGCTTATTGCTCTCCTCTCTCCACCCCCAAGAGCTGCCAGGGAGGACACAGCAGAACTGCAGCAAGCACAACACCCCAAGCTCATCTCCGCCCCCAGGCACAGAAGCAGGGAGCCGCCTGCATTTCAAGCTCCATTAGGGAGATACGTGGAAATCGGTCTGGACTTCGCTGTTGAGGGCACAGCCGCCCACAGGGACATACTCCTGCTAGCTGAGGAGGTGTGCAGACTAGCCACACCAGCAGGAGGGGGCAAGCCGCTTTGCTTTTACTATGAAGAAATTTAACTCTATCCCAGCCAAAACCAGAAGAGGGAGGCTGGTACAGCTCTGCCAGCCAGCGCTGTTCCGGTCAAAAGCCAGTGGGGAGTGACCATCCTGCAGGGATCCTACCTTGAAACCAGCCTTAGGCCTTCAGCTGGCTACACTGCATAGCGTACTAAGGAGCAGCCTGCTGCTCAGTGAACCTTCTCCTCCCAGGGAGCTGCCACAAAGTATTTTAAAGATAAATACGAGACCAAGCATGTCTGGCCTCACTGTAGCAGGTAACCGGATGCTCCCAGCATTGCATACAAGTCCAGCAAAACCCCCAGACACACACTCCCAGAGATTGCACAAGAGCTCCTAGCTTGTCAGACAAGCTGCAGGGATGCTCTGTGCTCTGATACTTAGCAACCAGTTGAGTTGTTTTGGTGGTGGGAGGGAGTTTGCCTCTTGGGGTGGGCTGTGAAATCCCCCTTCTCAGCCTCCTGAGCACTTTTTCCCATTTCTTGCAGTCAGAGGCTTTGCAGCAGCTCCGGAAGGATTCAGAGGGCATCCGAAGCCGGTATGCACACTACTTCGACCTCTCACTGGTCAACAATGGGGTGGAAGAAAGCCTCCAGCTGCTGCAGGAAGCCTTTGAGCAGGCCTGCAGCTCTCCACAGTGGGTGCCTGTCTCCTGGGTCTACTGAGAGGGCATCCGAACCCAGCTGCTTCCCATCAACCATTCTGCAGCCATGGGGAGAAACCTTCTCCTCAGCTCCCCCTCATCCACACACAGCCTAACACAACTCCCTTCTGCTGCTGCTCCACGGACATGGTCTCAATTGGTTGACACACACACACAGAGGGTCTCCAGATCTCCTCTCTCAGGGGAACACAGGACAGGCTGCCCAGGGGACACCACCTCCCACAACATTACAAGGCAGTGGCTACAGCAGAGCGCAGGGCACTCCATTAGCTCAGAGCACAGCTCCCCCCTCACTGGGCAAGGGAAAGCACAGTCCTGCTGTAGCACCTGGCCGATCTCTGCATTGGTCCCAAGGCAAGAGGTAGAGCAGAGGCTTTCCAGGTATATGTCCCCTGCCATCGTAGGAGTGCACTCTGCGCCACAAACACCTTGAAAGCTGTCCACGAGCTTTGGAGGCTTCACACAGACCACACCAGAGTTCCTACATCCAAGGGTTCCCCCTCACAAATGGGAAGAGCAGAAAAAGGCGAGCATGGATTTGACGAAAATGGCGTGGAGCTCACCACCCCCAAGCAGGTCTCACCCTGCGTTCTGAGGTTGGAGTTTTCTGATTCACCCTGTGCAACTGTAGTTGTAACAACTCACTGTATTTAAATTCTCACCATGCAGCTTGGATTGTTACCGCCTGGCTGAACAAACTCAGCAGCAGCTGAGGAAGTCCCACAGACCAAACCCCAGAGGGACAGTTCAATGGGTAAATTAGATCCAGCCACAAGTATCTGTTGCATGCAGTAGAAACAGTGTCTCTACAAAGATCATCCACACGTGTTTTCCAGAGTCTAGGGTGCCTCGCACACTGTATGCAAACTTAAAAGCCACCCACACAAAGGTGTTTCTTCTTCTGCAGGAGTGTACTGACGCACAAGCCCCACCATGACCATGTCTAGGAAGCGTCACTATGGCTCCTGGGCAAACGATAGTCATCATTTAGGTGGAAGAATCTCATTTGTGTGTTCAGCAGTCAGCTAGGGGAAAGGGGAAGAGGGTTAAGAAGTCTTGCGCAATTTTTTAAGGATGCCAAAAATCTGTTCATGTGCAATAGGGACCTTCGTTCTCATCCACTGCAGGGAAACAATAAGCAGCAATAAACGTGCTGAAACATTGCTGTGACTGGTGTCTTACCTCTTAGGCTGAGAACTCACTCACAGCTGGAAGTCCGTTCCCACCTCTCTGACCCTAACACACTCAAGGTTAGGCAGGCCAGGACTAAACAGTCCCTCCAGCCACTGTCAGACCTCTCCAGCAGCTCACTCCAGCACAGGCAAAGGAGGAAAGAAAACACTCAGCTTCCAGGCACATGTCCCAGTGGGTTTTACCAAAGCGGAGGGTGGCCCCCTGAGCACCTGCGAAGCCTGACCAGCAACAAAGGCCCCTCTAGTGATGGTCCACGTCAACATGACCAGTTCTCTGCACCAACAGCTTCTTCAGGAGAGCAGCACAAAGGCTGGACAGAAGGGGCAACCATTTACCTGCCCAGCTGCAGCATGCACATGTGTAAGCTGCCTCCTCTCCCCATGAATGGACCACTGACCTCTTACAGGAGCCAGATGAACAAGAAAATCACCTGTTCAAAAATAGGGCTTTTATTTTTAAGTAAAAAAGAGTAAATAAAAATGGACTTTTTTTTCTGCTCAGGTTCTGACAGCCACCAGCTGCTGGCCCCACTGCCTGTGTGTATCTCTAGCACTGAAGGGGAGAAAAGTCAAATGGTTAAGACAAAAGCAATGCACGAGGCTAAGACAAATGTTACAGAATCTCTGCAGGGATGAAGCTCAGAACAAAGCAGCCTGGATCCTTCCCCATTAAAAGGGGCTAAAATCCTGGCTCAGCACTACCCCTGTGATAGAGGAGAGACCTCCTGCCCCCAGCGAGCTAGCCCAGATAAGGAAATTAGGACAAGTCTCTCTGAAACTGCTCAAGCCCCACACCCAGTGCCCCTTGCAAAGCTGCCTCTGCCAAGATTTTCCTCACAAGGACTCCGGTCCCAACAGCCCTCTAGAAAATTATACTGGCCAGCCACCTTCTGGTCACTTCACTTTTGCCCCCTAGCAGCATCCCCACTTCTAGCCTTCAGAGCATATTAGATATCAAAACCAGCGAAGGCAACTGAAAGTGCTGTGGTCCCATTCCAACAACTGGGTACGGAAGAGCAAAGAGCCAGCGAGAGGTACACACTGACAAGGTCACTGGGGCACTGGGTCTGGGGATCAGCCGACAACTAACAAGCAGGTCCCTGCACTATAAAGCAAAAAGCAGGAATTTAATGTTCTAATCCTTTTATGATAAAGTTAAAAAAAAGTACTGAAGAATATCTGGATGGATTATTTGAGCTCATCTAGCTGACGGTCAAGCCAAGCATATGGCCAGGTTTAACAAACCAGAGCCCTTCAAATAACCGATTTGACTGTCCCCATCCAAACCCATTCAGACGGGCCGTGACAAAGCCAGTCCTCCAGACACCAGCACATTCTGCAACACTCAGGTAACAGCTCCAACCTTGGAAGAAAAGGAAGAAAGAGACAGGACAACAGAGGGGAGAAGCGTTATTCCTCCCTGTCAAGGTGAAAACAGAGACACCAAGTAAGAGCCAGGAGCGACAGCTTCCCTGAAGATACCACTTCTATTGGCATCATGGTGTTCAGCTTTAGAGAGCAATCCAGTGCAGGGGCAGTCAGGCACCCCGCTCCTCTGGCAACCCTTAAAACAGGATGAGGAGGGGTACCTGAGCAGGGCATATCCTGGGCAAACACACCTGCCCACTAGTATACAACAGCAGAAAAGGAACTTGGAAATTGCTGGCCCCTCTGCCACGTAGCCAGTCCTCTTTTTCTCAAGGCCTCAGACTCCTCCCTCCCTACTGACGAGGTCGCCTACGTTGGACAGATCCAGTTGCTTACTCCGAGCTCTCTTCTACCTCCTTTTGTTTCTTCTTCTTCTTCTTCTTCTTGGTGCTGGTCTCACTGGTCTGTGAAGACGTTAGAGAGGTCAGGAAGGAATCAAAAAAAGGAATCCCCCACTGCTCATTTCAGGAGGAACAGTCCCACTCCAGAAGCAGTGCAGGCTCCCCATGGCCACAATCCTCCCTGACCACCGTACAAGCACTCAAGCACACTGACTGAATGCCAGCACCATGCCAGGCACCATCCTCCCACTGGGGCCTGTTACAGGGCACCAAGCACAGAGGTGGCCTGGCAGGAATGTGTACCCACCAACTGCCCCAGGGCACAAATGGCTGCTCACCCCATCCCTGCCCCACTGCAGATCCACCCCAAGCCTCATCTACCTGATGTCCCACCACCCTCAACCAGTTTAGTTTACAAATGCGCCTATATAGACATCTTTCTCTGCCTGTGGGGAGCCTGGCACTTTGGGGACATGCACAGCAGGATGACGATGTGTTTATCCTGCAGGTATTAGGGAGACACAGCAATATCTCCCATGCTTGGACCGTACCATAGCAGCACCCAGTTACATACCACTTCTATTTGCTCTCCCCCGCTCTCAGCTGCCTCTTTGGCCTTCTTCTCTTTTTTCTTCTTTTTCTTTTCCTTTTTGCTCAGCTGCTCTGGTGGTGGGGTGGCAGGGGATGGTGGGGTCACAGCCTCCTCACTTTCACTCTCCGACTCTCGCTTCCTCTGTTAGGGGAACACATTGTCAGACACACCATCTTCCAAAGGAGCTCAAGTGATGGGAAAACTGTTTGCAAGCCCACTGCAACTATTTTGCCTGATTCAATCAAACTTCACAGTTAACAATGCTTTAAGCAGGAAGGTGAGCTACAGACTGCCAGTGGTCCCCTCCAGCATACACTGTCTAGGATTTGCTTCTGCCAGAATTGGACCCCGTATTTCTCAGTGTTTCCTGCATCCCAAATGCTCCAGAGTTTCAAGCACTGATGCACCTTTCCAAGTGCATGCACAAGCCCTGATTTAGGGAACTTTAGATGCAACTCTTGCATGGACATTTCTGCGTCTGTAGTCTCCAGAAAGGTTTTCTGGCAAAACAGACCTCCATTGTGGCTCCATACAACATATTTCCTTGGATGCTGCAGCTTGTACATCACAAGTCAGAGCTCCTCATTCTCATACTGCGCTACAGGACTCACACACAAAGTACAACATCCCACCAACACACACACAGGGATAAAGCCCTAAACAGATAAAGCCCTAAACAGATAAAGCCCTATCTACAGATAGCTCATGGGCCACGCAACTACAACACATGTTCAGGTGCTAGGGTCCCAGAATATGAACCACTTTCCCCTGTAAAACAACCAACCAAAGGAGCACACAATCCAGCGCCTGATACCAGCTGCCTAAAGGAACAGGTACGTATCCACTCTTCATCAGGGCCCAACCACCCTTACAGCCAGAGCACCAACAATACTCACTTTTGGAGCCCTCTCCAGCTCTGAAACAGCTCGGGGAACAGCAGCTGCCTCTTTCTTGGAAGCATCCCTGAAAGAGAAGATCCCCAGGCTGAGAAGGACAGCCGCTGCCTTGCACTGCTCTGTACAAGTAAAAAGCCCTGTCCCGCACGTAAGGGCTCCGTAATCCATGGTAGGCTCTCGGTGGGGAGGCTGGTGTGGGGAAGACCTGCAGCCTGCACCAGGGCCAGCTGGGCTGTGAAACAGCAAGGCCTCTCCCATTTAATTTAGCAGACTGACTCCCTCTAAAACCACAAGCACAGGCTAGAAAGGGATAACCATCTGCTCAGGACCTTTCCCTCTTGTGCTGCTCACTAGCAGCACACTCCCTGGGACTGCAAGAAATGCCACCGCACCCCATGGGTCCGGACAGCCGACAGCTTTGGGCCAGGCTTAACATGTTTCAAGCACAAATGGCAGCACCCAGCCCAGCCCTTGCTGCTCAGAGCTCCTCTCTGCCCACCATGCAGGAGCCACACACCCTGAACCCACCTGTAATCCACATACTCCTTCTTCCAGGAATCTGGTGTGCTCTCATTGGGCTTTCCATGCTTGTCCAGCAGACCCTTCTGGATCATCATCTTCTTTTGACTGGCCTGAGAGCAACGTGCAACAAGTCAGACTGTAGCTCCAGGGAGGAGAAATCCTCCCTGGGGCTTCAGCCACTTAACCTAAGAGGAGGTAATCCAGGAACAAGCCAAGCCAACAACTACAGCGTTACTGATTTAACACCT